GGAAGGGGGTAAGGGGCAGCGTGGGGTCCCCTTTCCTTCCTGATCGACCCCTTTCAAAACTTTTACACACTCTTTACACGAGATCAGTAAGTCAGCAAAGGATTAACTATTTACATAACCAAGGAGGAACATTTCAGGTAGGTTCTCGTTGGGGAAGATGGGAGGGGTATGATGTAATTTTCATTTTTTTTTTTACCCTATCTACGATGTTATTTACTGAGTCATGCGTTGGGTTTTTCTCTCTTTTCCATCTTTCGTTGTTTAGTAATAATAACCAAAAAAAAAAATACAGAAAACAATATACGAAAATATGATGTATGCTATACGAAGGAGAATGATTAAAAGGTAACTTTATGCTATTGCAAGAAGGTCAACATGCGTGCTACTTTTAATTTGGACTCACCATTTTTTGCTATTTTCTATGACTATTATTAATACTATGTTACATATTCTTTCAAATGGTCAAGGAAACCTTCATGATAATATAGTTTGTGTGGGCCTATTCTCTATTTCATCATCTGTAATGCCAAGCGACACCGCTATTGGATCGCTATATAACCAAGTGCATTCATGTCGGTTTTCACTAAACCACCTTTAGGGTAGCTTTTTCATCCCCTGGTTATCGTTTTTTTCTCCTCTTGTGGGTTCTAATTCTTAAGATACGATCTAGCTTGTGTAGATAAGTGCATCAAGTACTTGAAATTACGGATCTGGCTTGGAAAGAAATAAATAGCAATCCTCCAAACCCACCACCCATCACCTTGTGATCCTCGCGAGGTGAAATCTTCCTCATGTTCAGCTACCATGTGGAGCTCCTGCAGCTCGACCCGCAGGACCTTCTCTCGAGCTCTGCCACGGGCATCGTGCTTTACTTCACCCAACGCGGCGCACGCTGCCGTTGTGAAAAGGTTCCCTCGCAACACACCGCTCAGTCGTTTTTACCGTCGGATCGGCTGATTTTTCAGCTCGAAGGGGGCAAGGAGGGCGGCCTCGTCGTCGGCGGCCCCGGGCGAGAAGTGGGGGCGTGTTGGGTACCCCTCCAGGAGGCGAATCCATCGAATGGGGGGGCGATCCCCCCGTGCGTTTCCCCACCTCGGGTGTTTGTTTTATGGGAGGTGGTTCCTCTCGTTGACGTCCCTCCTTCCAGGCCGCTCTCCGAGCAAAAAGGAGAGGGGATATCCGAGCCAAACGCGATATCCACGGGTGGTTTTACGTCCTCCTATCCTGCTCCCCTTCCTTCCGCGGATGGGGTGGAAAACGAAATGGCAAAGACCCCTGCCGTGGGTTTGACGGTTTCTCCTCCAGCGGTATCTTCGGTAGGGGAGATCGGGCGGCGCGTGGAGGGCAAAGAAACTCTTCTACATCCCTCAAATAACGTCGAGGAGGTCAGAGCGAATCAAAAGGAGGAGCGGGTGATGGATTTGGCCAAACCTACCGTTCAGGATCCTCCTCGTACGTCGATGGAAGGTTCTTTAGTGGATACAACGCGAGCGGATGCGGCCTCATCGCGGCGCTCTCCCTCCCCTTATCGCCCTAGTTCGATTACACATCGGGACCCACACGATGAAAGGGAGGGCAAAGAGGGGGGGAACCCGCTTCGGATGGGTTCGGTGAGCACTCTTAATACGGCGCGAGAAGGTTCTCTTTTAAACTCCGTGGTCAACGATGAGGATGGGGCTGGTTTCGCTTCTAAGTTTTCCGAGCCGCATACAGAAAATCCGAGCGAGCGGAAGGCGCGCGGTAAGTCTCGCCATACCAGTATCCTCGTCAGAAGCAAGGATCCCGTGGCGAGCGAGAGGAGGAGTAGGGTATCGAGTGAAAATGCGAGTATCTCGACCTTGCACACGTCCGAGAATGACGCCCCCGATGACAAGGAAGCCGCGTTATTTCCAGCGTTAACCGAGCAGAAAGCGAAATATCCGAATCGTGATGAACTAGAAGGAGGCAGGCCGCGTGGTTTCATAAACTTTTACGCCACGAGCACCCAGGGCCGTCTTCCTCTTGCGGTCGCGTATCGTAACCTCTACACTGCCCCCGCCTTATCTTCCCTTCAGGATCCTGAAGTTCAGGCCTTTTTAGCCGAGCCCATCGCAGAGAACCCTTCAAATTTGTATACCCAAGAGGGCTTGACGAATTCCACGAAGGACTTCCCGTTTCAGTGGTTGGATACGTCGGCGTTGGCGAGCATCCGTCGTGAACAGCGTGGGGAGCGGCATCCGCAAGGCTCTCCCGAGGGAGAGGCGGGCACGACGCTTTTACCTCGTGAAACGACAAACACAAATCCCCTCGTGGGAGGGGTGGGGAGCACCGCGGGAGAGGATGACAGGATACACGCCACGCCTCGTGAGGTCGGTGAAATCCACCACCACCCCATTTATGCCAACCTTACCCAAGAGGCTATGGTTTATCGATATAAGGCGGACGTCTTCAACGCGACGGAGGAGAAACCGATTCGCTATTCCGACATACCCTAGACGACGAAACCAAGCATCAAGACGGCAGGGAAGGGGTAGATAGAGTTCCTTAACCAACGCAATTCATTAGATATAAGTATATATATATATATATATATATATTATTGTTATTATTAGAAATTATGCAATTCCTTATTTATGTTCTTTGAAAAAAGAAACAATTCAGTTGGTGATTAGGTGCTATGAGGTTGTGCCCACTGTACTAGGTTTACTATTTGTTCCGTGGGAAGGGAGCCACTTTCCCGCTTTGTCTATTTTTTATCATTCTTTTTCCGTTTCTTCGACCATTTTTCTTCTTTTTCTCGATAGTCCATGCAAAGCAGGTGGAATTCTCCCCGCGCGCTACTCTCGCTACGCCGGGGAGTTTTGTTGGCGCATTCGAATCCAGGAAGCCACATGCGCTTCGTGCGGTGGGTTAGTGCGCCGCGTTTGTTTCGTCAGGGGGAGGGTCGCGCGTTTTGGTTGGGGAGTGGTCGGTGGGGGAGTACTCGCGCGGGATCCTCCACGACGGGAGGCCCTTCTTCACCTCAGGAGGAGCTCATCGAGCGGACGTTGGGGTTTGAAAAGAAGCACATCGACGCCTTTGTGCGCGTCCTCAAAGGCGAGGAGACGTCGCCTGTTCTTAAGGATAAAAGTGGAGGTCGTAGGGGTCGTTCAAACCCTTTAGGGGCACCCAATCGCACCGGATCTCGAGCGGAAAGGCCTCCACGCGATCCCGTGCGCTCCCCCAAACCCACACTCGAGGAAAAATGGAGAAAAAAAACCGATTCGTGGGGGAAATTTCAGAACCCGCTGCGTCGTCGTTCGGCTGTTCCTCGGATTGAAGAGGCGCTTCGCGAGGTCCTGACCACCCCGGCCGCGGATTTTCCCTATGCGGAGTTGTTTCTCTCCCTTCGGGCGATCGCAACGGGGCGAAGGGGTTTGCGTGAGGAGGACTTTCCCCCGCCGATGGTTTATCGCCTTCCCGCCCCGCGCGCTTCCCCGGATTCCTTGCGTGCGGAGCCGCTTTATCTTTCCGCGGTGTTGGCGTCCTGCGCGCGGGATCTCCCGACAGGGGAGACCGCCCTCCGGGCGACGCTGGAGCGGCTTTTTCAGCTTCAGAAGTCCACCCCGCCGGCGATCGACGCGCGGCAGTTTTGTTGGAAGTCCTCGTTTCTGATCACTGGGTTGGAAATCGCGCGACGAGGGGGGCCCGGGGTGGAATCGTTTCTCTGCCCGGCGCTCGAGCACCTCGCGGAGGAGTTCGCGCGGGAGGTGATGCGGCTGTCGGCGGCCAACCCCGCCACCCCCACGGCCTGTGGGGCTCCCGAAAACGCCCTCGCGAACGAAGAAACCCACGAAATCCATGAAACCGATGAAATCCATGAAACCGATGAAATCCATGAAACCGATGAAATCCATGCAACCGATGAAACGACCGATGGGGCGAATCCAAACGAGGCGGCGAAGGCGAACGCGGAAGGGCCCGGGGCGGCCCTCGCGCGCGCGCCTCG